CCTAATCTTAATCTGGAGCAAATAAACAATGTCGTCAATTTAAAGAGTCTTGTAGAAGATATCCACAGTGTGGATATTTCAAGATTCGAAGTACCATTGGCTCCGCTTGATTTGTTCTTGGTCCTGAAAGAGATATATGAAAATGAATTGGTATTTTCATCAATTATTTGTTTTATTATTAATGACGAAGTTTTACTATGTCACATAACTAACCTAATTTTTAAAGGAACATGAGGTTGTAGAAATAAACAACGATATGGATATGATGGTGATGATTGACAATAATAATGATCTGTCATTAAATAATACCAACCGATCATCAAATAATAATCACATTCCAATAATACAAGAACATAATCAAGATGTTCCTCAAATAATTAGTCAAGATGTTCCAGACGTTTCCCAAACAACTATTCATGATGTTCCGGATGTTCCTCAAATAATTAGTCAAGATGTTCCAGACGTTTCCCAAACAACTAGTCGTGATGTTCCGGATGTTCCTCAAATAATTAGTCAAGATGTTCCAGACATTTCCCAAACAACTAGTCATGATGTTCCAGACGTTTCCCAAACAACTAGTCATGATGTTCTGGATGTTCCTCAAATAATTAGTCAAGATGTTCCAGATGTTCTTCAAATAATTAGTCAAGATGATCTCCAAATGGAGCTTGATCAAGATGTACAAGTACCTGATGATCAAGACAATCATCAAATAGTAACTTATCAAAATGAACATCAGATAGTACAAGAATCTAATCAAGACTCTTGTAGAAAAAAAAAATGGTCACAACATGAGATGAATATTATCATAGAATTTATCTTAGATAAAAAAATCAATATTAGAAAACTTAGTCAATTGGGGCTATTTAGAACTAAAGATGCAATACTAAACAAGAGCAGAATGATAAAGCGACAAATAAGAAATTTATTTGAAGTTTAAAAGTGTTGCAATTTTTTAATAAAAATGTTTATTATCTGTTATAAGATTTCCATCATTTTACTGACAATTTGGTTAATATTTATCATATTGATATATTGATATCACAATTGATGTTCTGGATGTTCCTCAAATAATTAGTCAAGATGTTCCAGATGTTCTTCAAATAATTAGTCAAGATGATCTCCAAATGGAGCTTGATCAAGATGTACAAGTACCTGATGATCAAGACAATCATCAAATAGTAACTTATCAAAATGAACATCAGATAGTACAAGAATCTAATCAAGACTCTTGTAGAAAAAAAAAATGGTCACAACATGAGATGAATATTATCATAGAATTTATCTTAGATAAAAAAATCAATATTAGAAATGATGTTCTGGATGTTCCTCAAATAATTAGTCAAGATGTTCCAGATGTTCTTCAAATAATTAGTCAAGATGATCTCCAAATGGAGCTTGATCAAGATGTACAAGTACCTGATGATCAAGACAATCATCAAATAGTAACTTATCAAAATGAACATCAGATAGTACAAGAATCTAATCAAGACTCTTGTAGAAAAAAAAAATGGTCACAACATGAGATGAATATTATCATAGAATTTATCTTAGATAAAAAAATCAATATTAGAAAACTTAGTCAATTGGGGCTATTTAGAACTAAAGATGCAATACTAAACAAGAGCAGAATGATAAAGCGACAAATAAGAAATTTATTTGAAGTTTAAAAGTGTTGCAATTTTTTAATAAAAATGTTTATTATCTGTTATAAGATTTCCATCATTTTACTGACAATTTGGTTAATATTTATCATATTGATATATTGATATCACAATTATCTGTTTATTAAATCTCTAATTGATCGGCTCTAAGCACTGTGATTTAATTTGTAACGTTTTTTTTAATTATAACATTACTAATTATTACCAATTACACTATATTTGTAAACGTTCAAATAATTTATTACAATTATTAACGAACAAGTAATTTTATTGTTGTAAAATTACAAGAGTTATATGAATTATACATATAATAGTCGTGTGACATGTCCCTGAGGCTGCTTTTCTATATGTGAAAATAAATTCGAAATTCGTGTCACATGAAGTTTTTTTTAAAATATCTCGT